GTGATTATCTATACAATAAACTGATAAATGAAATGTATAAAATGACCTGAACATGAGGTACAGGATATTTTAATGTTGATATATAGGAAAGAACTGAATCAAAAAGGGCATTGGTGCTGCCAATAAGTACTTCAAACATATCAGTGCGAATTACTTCATGCAGGAACTGTATTGACACTTCAATTTCTTTTACTGGTTTTTTCATCAGTGCAGAAGCAGCACTTGAACTTTCCTGTATCAAATAGTAAAAGTTACCGTAAACCTCATCCGATATTATGAAAGATAAGAACCTATCAGCAATTATAATTACTTGATCATTGTTGGCATTTCCGGAAAAAGGGAACTGCACATTAAGAACAACGAATTCTGGAAACTTATCAAGTGAGTTCATATCTCAGATAAAATTTACTGCTTCTGTTAAAATTCCGAGTTGAGGGATTCAAAAAAAATGAAGGAAAAAAAAGAGCAATAAGAAGACTGTGTACGTAACTGCTTACGTTTCGATATTAAGTTTATTAATCGCGAGATAAGCTGATAAAAAAGAACTGAGGAAGACAATTAAAGATAATGTATTTTACTTACGATTGAAGATGTGGCGGTATCGGATGCTCTTCGAAGTGGCACAGTGGGAAGTTTTGACTCGTTATGTGAAATTGCACTGGGAGATGACTGAAAAAATAATGTGACGTGTTGTTGATACAAACTTTTCACATTTTCATTGCATTTTTTATTAGCTTTTCGTTATTGTAAAAGAATGCAAGAAAGTGTGTGTGTGTGTGTGTGTGTGTGTGTGTGTGTGTTCTATGCCTGTGTATGTGTCTGTCCGTCTGTGTGTGTAAAAAGTGATATTAAAGTGTTCTTTTGTTAAATGAAAATTGTAAAAAAATTTAAAAACAAATTTAACTACTGTTGACAATATCGAAAACTCATCTACTTGTCATCCATTGGGAAATGAAATGGCTTGGATGAATGAAACCGAAGATATTGCTACTCCAAGAATTAATAAGTGTGTACAAGAGTGGTCCTTGTGGTTGAGTAAAAATTTCATCAAGTTTATTTTTCTAGAGTATTTCAAGTATCCTAATAAAATTTGCAAATATTTTATGCATTGATCTGTTTAATTGTACTCGCAATTTAATAAAAATTCGACAATGATCAATCGTACAAATCTTGAATTTGAAGCAGAAACTAATTTCGACTGATGAAACGAGTATGCAGATTTATGACAACAGTATGACATTTTAACAGTATTGAATATCAGAAATGAATAATTAAAAAAGAACTGAAAATGATGGAAGAATAATGGCAATGAAAATTTTAAATCAAGACAAGTCGATAGCTTGATGCTAAAAAACATCATTTTCAAAACAAAAATCATTTCCTTAAAGTGTAGAACTTTGAAATGTGAAGCTTTAGTTAGCTGAATTTGTTGAGATTACACGAAGTTAGATGTTGTAAATTAGAACTTCAAAGACGTTCCATTCCTTTTCCTTGTAGCATCAAATTTCATCAAAAATAGCACCAATTATAATCGTCTGAAAAGGCCTTATCATATCAAGCTACCCAGTCAAAATTTTTTTCCTTAACTCTCCACTCATTAAGCCATCACGATTCCGTTTATCAATTATTTCATATTTAACATCGTATCAAATTTTCTAAACAATATTACTCTCACACTTTAATATATGAAAATACACGCTGTATCAGTCATGAGTAGTAATTATAAATAATATCCCTGAATTATAACACTATTTAACTATAATTTCTTGGTGGATATAACTGTTCCAAAAGATGAGCTACAACTGCAATAAAATTTGTGAAGGAAGAATAATGCAACGAACTAAATATCCAGTGGATCATGAAGTCGATCATAAAAGTCTAAGTAAAATGTGAAAAGTGATATGAAAGGATTGATTCTATCATCTAACACTTTTATTTGATGATAGGAATGTTTCAGAATCGAGCAGATATGCTTCCTTTGAGCATTTAATCAGCAAAAACCATTTATTTTTTAATCTATTCGGCAGTTAAGCCGTACAGTATTTAAAGTGAAAACGATTATTCAAATCAAAACGTGACAAAATTGCAGGTAATGTGGAATATACTTCAACCATCATTGATTATTCTATTCCATTTCGGTTCTACGAGAATCAAGGAAAACCATAAAATAACACCGCACCATGAAACTTAACCGTACTAGAAAGCTTAGTCTAAATTAGAAATTACATTGAAGAATGGAAGTGAGTTAAATTACCCGAAATCCTCGAAATGCATCCCGGACTTCGCGTAATCGACTGCGAAGAGAAAAAGGTTGCTGTGTTGAAGATCCAAATTCTGTACCGAAATCAAAATCGCTTTTAAACGGAGACTCAAACATCTGAAACAAATAAATGCAATAGATGAAGAAGAGTGTCCGAGTTTTTAGTTCAATAAACGTGGGAAATCAATATAGCGCTAATAAATAACAAATCTATCATCTATCCGACCGATAACTACGTATGCTTACTACTCTTCCAAAAAGGAAATTTTTTTTTGGATGTCATTTAACAATACGGAATACTGTTAGTAAATGGGAAAAATATTGAAGAGAGGAAATTAGCATACATCATCTATCTAGTAACATCAAAATTAGTACATGAGTCACAGGATTATCCATTAAGCATGTTTGCTATTACTTCTTGACCAGTGTTACATCCATTATAGGTCAGGACCGTTTGACCATTGAATATTTGTGCAGCTTTAACAATTATACGCATAGTTACTCCAGACCACACTGTTCTGGATAGGTCTACACATAGGATTGGCCAGAAGCACTATTTGCACACAATCATCAACTTCCCCAAAATCAGCTGTTTGGTCATTTCATCGTCTATCAACGATTTGCGATATTCTCTCATTGTAGATGAGCATATCACAGTTTACTGATGGTATAGTGATGCTGTGATGATTGTGTCATTGACCGCATTCATTTTGAGAAGAACATTTAGCTCGGTTAGAAAGGATGCAAACGTTAGATCATTTTTCAACTGCACTTTAACAGTAATCATCTGACGCATATCATCTTTTGTTCGTTTTATGCTGACCGATTTAGATGATAACAAGAAGTTCTGTGAGACTGTAAAAATTGCTATATTCTTAGTAAGCGTTTAACAACATGTTTTCAAGTATAATGAAGTTTAGCAAAAATTTTTCATCTTCTAAATTGAAGAATTTTCGGTCAACACTAAATTATTCGTCTCCCATTTTGCAACCATAACAGAAACCTTAACAATTGAGCAGAACAAAACACAACATTAAGATGATTACAGTGTTTAATCAGGAAATAACAAAAAGGTATTGTTTGAGGAAATAGTGATAACAATTTTTGAAGAAAAGAAAGAAACTCTGGTTAAAACAAACAATGACAAAGCATTATTTATGAGTGATTAAAGGAAGTAAAAGAGGATAAAAAGGGTAATATGGAAGTAAAAATAATTTAATTTGTTAGGAAGATGGAAAGAAGTAAATTGTAGATGATGAATGATTACCAACAAAGTTTTGTTGCAAATGAACAACTCTTCCTTGCAATGTACTCAGTGAATCTTTTATTCCTATCAATACAAACTTTTATCATAGGAAAAGGAGAAGTAATTATCTTCAAATCTGTCTACATCAACATTTGAAGTGACAATTTTATAGATGATTTGCTTACTGCTTAATTAATTTTTGTTAATTCGTGTCAAAGTTATTGCACAGAACTGTTAATTGAAATAGTATATAATATAAGCTGATAGAATACTAATTTAATATTTTGCCAATTCATTATGAATTTTTTTATCAAAAAAAGAATATAACTAGGAAATATGAATAGCTAAAATGAGTAGTTTGTATTGCAGTAGGAGGCATGCATTTTTGCAGCAGCTGGCTTACGGAAAAAAAAGCTGATCGAGGAAAAGCAGCTGTTGAGCAAGATAATTCTTTCTTTACTAATTTCAAGAATGGATTCGATATGTAAAAAGGATAGAAGATAATCGAAGAAAGAAAAGATAACTCATAGAAGAATATTACACTGAATATAAGCTGTTAGTGTAGAAAATTATAAGATATTTGCAATCCGATCGCAAAATATTAAATATTAATCTGAAAGAGATAACGAATAATGCATATATAATGGCAAGATTATTGACATGTTACTTTTGAATAACAAGATAGTTAGATGAAATACATCCTCTTTATAATGATACTACTACACCATCCAATGAATCAATTTTGTCATAATCAAATGTTGGCTAGAAATTAAAGTGAAATATAAGAGACCAAAGAATATTACTTTTGTAATGTAAGTTATTGTTAAAAAAATGCACCATTTGTATATGAAACTCGAAAAAAGTATCCGGAGTTGTCAATGAGAAGTAGTAGAGTAGCAGGATGTATTTGAAATCATCCAATGGTCACTGATAGACAGGAAATTACGAAAAAAAAGTGGAACCTATTAGGTGGGTGACCGAAAAATGTTCACACTATGGAAATGCATCAATTCCGGATAGATAGGAAGCAGCAAAGAAGAGGTAAATATTTGAAGCTCTAGATACCAATATTATGAGGAATGCAAAAGTGTGTAGAAAGGATGTCCGACAAAAAATAATTTACAAAAAAGAAAAAAGATGGACAGCTCCGTTTCTCGCAGAATTTTTCGACAGACATGATACTAAGCAAGAAGATAGATATGCGTGATAACTGTGAGTCATGAAGTGATCAATAATAAAAAATAAAACACCAATGATGATTAGTTTCAGTGATAGCACACGAACAGATAAATGGGAAGACGAGAACAGCGGCGTTTCTCATATTGCCTGATATGACAGAGGTGATATTATCAGGTATATTATCAGTTAGAGGTGATAAATTGTACGGTTACAGCATCCAACAACATATTTCAGCCCTCTTCTCGAGATTTTTATGCAATGAATGATGAAAATTTCGCAGAAATTTTAAGACATTTTTGTGGATACAAGCATTTCATCAACTGTCGCATAGTTACTGCTGGTGCTGATGTCGATGTTGACGAGGTTAACGGACGTTTATGGCAGGGAAAACTAACAGAATGCTATAGGAGAACCGGAACAAGAAAAGAATTGGACAGGATGAACGAAATGTAGTGGAATGGGAACCAAATAGGTTGTGAGAGAAAATTTAACTGCTGGAGAATCGGGACATTGAAGTAACGATACAACAGCAATACATTTATTTAATGAAGGAACTGGATGAGCGTTCTCTATACAAATTCAACTGGTATGATTGTCAGCAGGAAAGATCTAGTAGTGAGGGTAACAAATTATTGTAGGTCAGAGGCAGGGAGCAATTTGCCCATTTCAAAAAAAAGAAAAAGAAAAAAGTTCAATTTTAAGTTTAAAACAAGCTTTTCAGCTTGCTCAATTTATTGGCATCACTTTCAATCGATTTCATTTACAAGTATAACAAGAAGTGAGTGCAATCAGCATCTCTTTCAATTTTTGTATCATTCTGCAGAAAAAATACAGAGAATAAGGCAGTAGCCTAACAAAATGTATCACGCTTTGTTGCTTCAAATTTTAGCAAAACAACTTTTGCAAACTTTCACTCTTTTATTTTTCAGAAGAAGAAAAAAAGAGAAACCATCCCAATGAGTCAGATATTTTATTTGAAAATAATGATTAGAGAAAAACTGTTGCAAGCAAACACATATACATCTGCAACAATTCGGTACATACGATTAAAAGTGTACATAACAGATTCTCTATAAATATATCACTTTAGTAAGTTGTAAGTCAGTAGTAGTAGTGGACATCTCATTATTGTCTGTGAGCGCATGCTGTCGGAAAAACTTCGAAAATCCTAATGCAAATTTTCTGTTGGATTACCGAAATTTAAAGCTACTATCGGAAAAAACTAAAGGAAATTGTAATACGTCCAAACAGCTAAAGAATTTGTTGTAAAAACATTTTTGTTGTCTAAGGTCAATCGGCAAATATCTTCTCCCTTGTTAAAGGTCAATATGTTGTCTAAGGTTAATCTGTTAGAATATCTTTTCCTTTGATGTTGAGATGATTTATGGCGATTTTCCTTCTTACAAGAAAATCTAATCTTCTATGTAAACATCTCTTGTATGAGTAAAATTATTGTTGGCTTTGTAAGTACCTTAAATGGAGCTTGCAAAGCTCCTCCTTAATCCCCACATATATATATATATATATGTGAAAAAATCCTGGAGAGTTCAGTTCTTACAACCGAGCAGACGATACTCCGCTTATCCTCCGCGGCTAACCACAACCAGCGATACAACGCACATCTCCACCATTGGACAACAAACTACGATATTCTTTCTATTCGCTAAATACATATCCCGTAACATATTCCCAACTCAACTACCTATCAACTAATCGACAGTCAAATTATTGTCCAAGGTAACGACAAGGAGTTTGTTAATTGATCATATTACTTGCTTTTTGTATAACACATTTATTATTGCTTACCATCGTGTTATATACATACATATTTCATACCTTTTTCTTGTTGTTAACTAGTAATATTGTACAAGAACAATATTACCTCCCGAATAAATCTGTATCACTGAGAAACGAGTTCAACAGAAAAACAATTTCCTAACATCATTTGCATTAATATCACCAAATCATTCAAAAATGAATTT